ATTAAATATTTGCGAAGTTCTGGTGAAGTCTTTTTGCCCAATAATAAGACAATGATAGTCAAGACATTAGCGAAGAGTGCGAATACAGCCGTCAATGAGTACAATAAGATGACAATAATCTGGTATTTCGAGGGAATCGCCTCCAAATGTGGCAATTCTTCGAAAAACTTATATTTTGTGAAATTTATATATGAATTGTTTGAAAACCAAATCAAGTCCATGGTTCACATATCAAGATTATATATACGGTAATTTCATATAAAATCTAAATACATTTTTCATAAAAGTATTGATTAACCGTGTGTTTAAAACTACAAATATGGGATTGGATTAAGCAAATGACTGAATTGAAATTTAATTATAATATTTATATGAGTTATTTTGCAGACATTCTGCAGCCTTTTTGGACGAGTGTTTGGTTTGAAAATATTTTTTGATTAAAACACACATTAATTCTGCGATTAAATTGCACTTTAATTAGATTTTATAAGAGGAAACTCATAAACTATACTTTAATGCAATTAATTTTCAAAAAACATTCATATACTGTATATCATATAATTATTTTACTTCATAAATTCATTAAAACTCTGTTTTATGAAATAATAAATAGTTTTATTAACTTTTGATTACATGATTAATAGCAAACATAAAAACTCCAATCATAGGATACTAATTAAATAACTTAATAGTGATATGAAAATCATTTTTGGAAAATTTAATGTTATATTTAACTAATCATTAATACCTGGATGGTTAGGATGGCTACCTGTCCATAACTGGTAGACACACTATAATCTGCATATAATTTAAAATAATCTGTTTTTATTCATTTCCTCATACAATACACCATTCATGTGATCATTGAATCAATTGATAGCAATATAATACAATTGAGACATAATTTACAAAAACATATTCATATGAAATGAATGTCAAATAAACACAACTATAAACTGAATGACAAAACAACTGTATATACAGGTAATGACGTTAGACTCGGTGTGTCCATCGGCACCGGTATGCCGTACGTCTCCTACTCCTTGAACTTCCACTCCTGTCGACACATGGGGCACAACTGGTGGACGTGCTGTGAGTTCAGCCATTTCATGATGCAGTGGATGTGGAAGCAGTGCGAGCATTGGCCCCACACGAGTGGACAGTCGTCTCCCGGCATCTTGCAGTCAGTGCAGCAGCCGTCGAAGGCGTTGCGACAGATGCCGCAGTTGTCGTCGTTGGCCACCCATCGCCACGTGGCCACCGATGTCCAGCCTATCACCACAACACACACATTACCATCAATGAGATCCAACGGTTCCCATCGCTACTCACTCTTAATGTTGACTTTCATTGGCGGATACCGTAGACAAGTGTCTCGACGTAAACCGATATATCACTCAAATGTGTTGACAAATGGTGTGGCCTTTCAAACGGCACTTCACTTCACAATTGATTACAAAAATGACTTTTAAATCACTTATCAGTAGATTATCCGTAAATAACCGAAATATTTAATATAAGTTATTTTTAAATTGAATAGTATTTTATGTTGTTTGCCGTTTAATTAAAGTTTGTCTGATTTACGACCACATCATCCATGAGCTGACTTTTGATCGAAACATTGGTGTAGAGAGTCTTCTGTGAGGTCTGCGATGACTTACTTCCACTGTTTGGACCAAATCTCATGAGTAGTCGCTTTTGTCTGAATAACTTCCTGAACACACTTTTTAAGTCAGTCTAGAAATAATGATTTAATAAATAAATACAATTGTCATATTAAATTATAAATCACAATATAATTACTCGAAAGTTGTCGCTTAAGAATGAATACATGATAGGGTTGACAGTGGAGTGAAACATTGATATCCAGTGTAATGTGAGGTACGAGACAACATACGTGTAATATTTAGCTCGTGTCTTAAACTTCAATATATCGGGAAACAGCCATATAGTCATCTGAAATATTTGAATACCTGCCCAACACATGACGAATGTAATGACCACTATAATCAATAGTCTTATTATCTAAATGAACAATAAATTCAATTACTATGTATAATAAACAGTACTAATGAAATACAACACTTAATTAGTTTTTAAAGTATAAAATTACAACTTATAATAAATACCTGAATTTTCTGGCGCTTTAAATAATTACTGAGATTTGGATTGAATTTGCGATTACAGACGGCATGTGCCATACGTGAGTAGACAAAGATGAGGACAGCGACCGGAAATACAAATGTAATGACAAACATAATGATTGTGTAGATTCTGCCGTCGTCTTCATCCCATGTCTCGCGGCAGTCATAATGAGTGGCGTTATTGAACTCAAACTGGACGGCCTCGCTGTTGAAGTATGTGGTCAGACACAGACCAAACCCGGACATCCATATCACTAATATAGTAATCCGGGGAAAGTATTTCAACCAATTTCTTCTATCTAATGGTCGGACGATCGCGTAATATCTGACGTTAGGGTAGATTTAAAAAGTAATTGCTTTTAAATTCCTTACAATTTAAATAAGTAATATAATTCTTGACAAATACCTGTCGATTCCGATGGCAATCAGTGTATAAATGCTGACAAATACGGAGAAGACATGGATGGATAGGACGACTGGACAGAAGGCCGGGTGAAGCAGCCATTTGCCATACATGAAGATAGTGTACGAGAAGGGCATTGAAAATGAAGCCATAATTATGTCGGATATCGATAATGAGATTAAATATTTGCGAAGTTCTGGTGAAGTCTTTTTGCCCAATAATAAGACAATGATAGTCAAGACATTAGCGAAGAGTGCGAATACAGCCGTCAATGAGTACAATAAGATGACAATAATCTGGTATTCCGAGGGAATCGCCTCCAAATGCGGCAATTCTTCGAGAAACTTATATTTTGTGAAATTTATGTACGAATTGTTTGAAAACCAAATCAAGTCCATGGTTCATATATCAAGATCATATATACGGTAATTTCATATAAAATCTAAATACATTTTTCATAAAAGTATTGATTAACCGTGTGTTTAAAACTACAAATATGGGATTGGATTAAGCAAATGACTAAATTGAAATTTAATTATGATATTTATATGAGAGTTATTTTGATAACATTCTGCAGCTTTTTTGGACGAGTGTTTGGTTTCAAAATATTTTTTGATTAAAACACACATTAATTCAGTGATTAAATTGCACTTTAATTAGATTTTATAAAAGGAAACTCATGAACTATACTTTAAATGCAATTAATTTTCAAAAAACATTCATATACTGTATATCATATAATTATTTTACTTCATAAATTCGTTAAAACTCTGTTTTATGAAATAATAAATAGTTTTATTAACTTTTAATTAAATGACTTAATAATGGTATGAAAATCATTTTTGGCAAATTTAATGTTATATTTAACTAATCATTAATACCTGGATGGTTAGGATGGCTACCTGTCCATAACTGGTAGACACACTATAATCTGCATATAATTTAAAATAATGTTTTTATTCATTTCCTCATACAATACACCATTCATGTGATCATTGAATCAATTGATAGCAATATAATACAATTCAGACATAATTTACAAAAACATATTCATATGAAATGAATGCCAAATAAACACAACAATTAAACAGAATGACAAAACAACTATTGATGACAACCGCCGTTACTATATATATACAGGTAATGCCGTTAGACTCGGTGTGTGTCATCGGCACCGGTATGCCGTACGCCTTCTACTCCTTGAACTTCCACTCCTGTCGACACATGGGGCACAACTGGTGGACGTGCTGTGAGTTAAGCCATTTCATGATGCAGTGGATGTGGAAGCAGTGCGAGCACTGGCCCCACACGAGTGGACAGTCGTCTCCCGGCATCTTGCAGTCAGTACAGCAGCCGTCGAAGGCGTTGCGACAGATGCCGCAGTTGTCGTCGTTGGCCACCCATCGCCACGTGGCCACCGATGTCCAGCCTATCACCGCAACAGACATTACCATCAATCAGATCCAACGGTTCCCATCGCTACTCACTCTTAATGTTGACTTTCATTGGCGGATACCGTAGACAAGTGTCTCGACGTAAACCTATATATCATTCAAATGTGTTGACAAATGGTGTGGCCTTTCAAACGGCACTTCACTTCACAATTGATTACAAAAATGACATTTAAATCACTTATCAGTAGATTATCCGTAAATAACTGAAATATTTAATAACAACATAATATGTGCTCATATATGACGTGACATATGCGAGTGAATGGGGTTTGCAGAGTGTAATGCTTTCTCGTAGGGTTTCTATTGCAGGGGGCGTTGTATTCATAAGAGTTTGTGTGACGTTATCTGTGTTTAACTCTTTAAATACAAAGTCATACAAATTGTGCGCCAATGAGAGCACGAGTTTGCGGATCGTTTGGAAAACTGGCTATTTTTGAATCAGACATTTGAATAAGAGATTCAATACCATTTGATAGTCATATGGGCGCGTGATTTGCATAACAATTAATTGGTATAAAACGTACGAAAGCCTCGCCGCATGAAAACCCAACAGTGAGTGTGCGGTGTTTGCTATGGATTTGAAAAAAGAGATTTTTGCCAAAAAACTAATTAAAGCATGAATTGAATGAATGACACGAACTGTGCATTGAGTGCGTGATTAAGAGTTGACTGAAAAACGTGTGCTTTTTTGGGGCCCAAAACAGTCGATGCATTTGCGGACCGATTGTCGCCTTAATCGTCGCATTCACTGTGTTTTCATCCCTTAAACTAAACTTTCATTTCTCTAAACCATTGGATAATAAGTATTGACTGAAAAGACATTAAACTAAGTGTTTGTGAGTATTCAATGGCTATAATCACACGCTATGTCTCAATGGCTATGTCTTTGATTTGGACACTTGTCTTAAGATTAGTGAATCGGTTGGACGCGATGTACGGGAAGACGTGTCGCGGACACCACACGCCAGCCGTTGGGGTGAGAGGTCGTGGTGGGGGTCATCACGGGTCGGAAAACCAGTCGCCGTTCGCCAACTCGGCTCAGGGGTCCGGCCGGTCCTCCCAGAGTCCGAGTCCTACGCCGTCGGACCTGCCGTCGGGCGTGCGGTATATCCGCGCGACGCCGACCTCTATCTACCGGCCGGTGACCCACAGGTCGGCCACAGTGGCCAAGAGGAGAGACCCGTCGCCCGGAAAGAACCTGCGATTCGCCGAACCCCTCGTCAACGGTAAGACAGACACGAAATGCCGGTCCTCTGAGCGCATCGACAGGCCGTGCCGTTCGCGGCAACAACTCAACCGACCCGTCATTAAGCCGGTCGACGCCACCGATAGTCACAAACCGGTGGCCAAGAGTTCGGCCACTGGGCAGTCGTCGCCCATATTTGCGTCGGGCGTCGACTTCGGCGGCGATACTCAGCGCACAACGACTTCCGCACCGAAGCGGACGCACTCTTGCTGTCGGTCTAAGAGTGCATCGCGTGAATCGACCCCCGAGTCGGGCACTACATCCTCATCGCCCACCGAACCTAAGACTGTCGTCAAGACTGCCATCAATGTTCCCAACAAAACGGTCCACAAGTATGCCATCATATTATCTGTTTTCAGTCAATACTAACAGATGATTGTCTTTTAGATCCACAGTTTTGACGCCCAATGATGGCTATAATGTGCACCGAAATAGAGTATCGATTCCATTGCAAGCGATGGATAGGAATGGAGATCCGAACCGACTGTCTGTGAACGTGAACGTCGCGGTCGGTCTTCAGTGCGATGACGACAAAGTGAAGAACTCGATGGCGAAGAAGGCGTACGAAAAGTTGTCCAAACATTTGACGACAATTAGTGACGACTCGGGGTCTGACTTATCAGATATGATCAGACATGACACCAGCGATGAGATGGACTACTTTGCGGTCCAATCGCCAGAGAGTGGGTCCGCCATTCAAGTGGCCGTACGTTTGCGTCCGTTCCTGAAAGCCGAGCATTTGGAGGACTCTGTGATAGAAATGTCTGGAAATACTGTTCGTGTAGTTAATGCCGAAAACGAGAACTATAATCGACTGGAGTTTGGTTTCGACTCGTGTCTGAACTCGTCGGACAGGGATTTGTTTGATTTCGCGGCTCAGGACCACGTGTACCAAGAAATGGGTCGACCGTTGCTCGAGCGCGCACTCGAAGGCTATAACGTGTGTCTGTTTGCTTACGGCCAGACCGGCAGTGGGAAGAGCTTCACGATGACGGGCACCGACACCAACGCCGGCGTTATTCCGCGCTTTGTTCGCGAGCTCTTCAAACGCTTCCTAACTCTCGTGGATATCGTATTCACTGTTGAAGTCAGTTATTGCGAGATCTATAACGAGAAGATTTACGATCTCTTGTCAGACGATAAGGTTAAGGATAAGAAGACGCTGCGAATCCGAGAGCACCCGCAGTCCGGGCCGTACGTCGAGCACCTGTCGCAGCATTTGGCCGAAAACGTTACGGAAGTAATGGATTTGTTGCAAAAGGGGACCAAACGTCGAGCCACGGCCTCGACAGCGATGAACGACACCAGCAGTCGTTCCCATTCTATATTCACTATAGTATTGTCACAACTGAGAAGTCACACGGAAATGGGTTTGGATGTGAGCTTCTCGTGCGGTTCGCGAATCAATTTGATTGATTTGGCGGGCAGTGAGAGGGTTGGCATCGCCGGCACGAGCGGCGACCGACTCAAAGAGGGCTCACTCATCAATAAGTCGTTACTTAATTTGGGAAAAGTAATCAAAAAGTTGGCGGACTTGGGTTCACATCGGCATAAAGTGGCGCACATTCCGTACAGGGATTCCCAACTGACATACCTTCTGAAGGACAGTCTGGGCGGCAATTCCCGCACATCGATGATTGCGACCATAAGTCCCGCCAAATGCCATTTGGAGGAGACGTTGAGTACATTGAGATACGCGGCCACCGCTCGCAGTATTGTTAACTACGTGCACATCAACGAAGACCCCAAGAATCGCAAAATACGTGAACTTATGGAAGAGATTGCGTTTCTCAGGACTCAACACATGGAACAGCAGCTCATTCCCCATACCTGTGATAAGCGATCCGACGATAGCATTGAGAGCAATGAATATATTGAGCCAAAAGCCGTCCAGATGTTGAGTATCGGAACGAACACTTCGTTTGTAGAGAAGCGTCGGATGAGTACCAAAATGACGGACACGTCGTTCAGTGACTTTCCCGACACGATGTCTAAGACAAAGACCTGTAGTATCGCCACAAACACATCGTTCGTGAAGTCCAAGATGTGTAGTATAGGGACAGACGCTGTGCCGCCTGTTGTCACTCACAAACCCATCACTAAGAGTACCGCCACTGAGATGTCGTTTTCGGAGACGTCGTCGAGGGCTACGTTCATAGATATGCCGACCCGTGAAGACCTCTGGAGAGGCAATAAATTGGGAGACAAACAGAGGAAACTGTTGGCAGAGATTCGTAAATACAGAGACAAACTGATGGGAGTGGACGCTAGTGGGGAGGAGTCGGAGCAATATTTTGATGCCAACCCCGGTGTGGACGTAGATGTGGTTAAGACAGAACCACCAGAAGAAGTGGGTTGGGATGAAGTGGACAATAGAAAGGATGAGGAAGAACCGGCAGCTGATGAACAGACCAATGGATACGAGAATAACCAGAAGGAGAATAATGAAGAGGGAGTGAATTGGGGTGAAGACGATGGCGATTGGTATCCCGAGGGCGCAGCTAATGAAGCCAAAGACGATAAGACCGAAGGCCAGTGGGACGATGCCGTCGGCAATGGAGATAATGGTGACGAACGGCTCGACGAGACCACTAAAAAGGATAAAAAGAGTGACAAAAAGGATAAAAAGAGCGACAAAAAGGGTAAAAAGAGTGACAAAAAGAGAGAATCTAATGAATCAAACAAATCAAACAAATCGGATAAAACTCATAAAAAGCCGGACGACAGTGAGTTTGATTGGGGCGACGATCAGAACAACACCACTGTTATCGACAGTAAGAAGAAAGATGGCGACCATAAGAAAGTGGATAATAAAGGTGACACTGGAGGTGATAATTGGGGCACTGATACTGGCGCTGACAATAAACACACCGACAATGGCAACACTGGAGATGACTGGGGCACAGGAGCCGACGACAAGGGAACCGGTGGTGATGATTGGGGTACTGGAGCCGATGGTAAGGGAACTGGTGGTGATGATTGGGATACTGGAGCCGATGATAAGGGAACTGGTGGTGACGATAACAATTGGGACGATACCGGAGACAATGGAAACGATTGGGGCGCAGGAAATAATGGCGATAATAATACCGGAGCCGACGATAATTGGGATTAAAAACTCGAGTTGATAAGGGAACTGGTGGTGACGATAACAATTGGGACGATACCGGAGACAATGGAAACGATTGGGGCGCAGGAAATAATGGCGATAATAATACCGGAGCCGACGATAATTGGGATTAAAAACTCGAGTCATTTGAAAACAAAGTATTTTTGCGTTTATTTATATACTTTTGAATCAATCTTTTATTTTCATTACTTTTAATTTCAATATTTATAATACATTTTTAGCCGACGATAATTGGGATTAAAAACTCGAGTCATTTGAAAACAAAGTATTTTTGCGTTTATTTATATACTTTTGAATCAATCTTTTATTTTCATTACTTTTAATTTCAATATTTATAATACATTTTTCTTATATTTCCCGTTCAAATATTTTATGATTAAATAAGTTTTTTGTAATGTTTTTGAAATATATATATATATTTAAATTCAGATTTATAAAACATTTGTGTATTCGATAAATATTATAATTATATAAAATTACGATTGCATTGAAATTTGTATTAAAATAAATTGTAAGAGAAATTAATAAAACTGTTTGTATTGTATGAATAAAAAGCTAAAGAGAAGTAATTTTGTGTTAAAGTTGTCAGTCTTCTAGAGCCTGGACGTGACCACAATATCGTTGACTTGTTTGACAGGTTTGATCTTTTTTGAGGTCCGAGTGATGCGAGTGTTTGCAAACTTGAAGACATGTGACAAATAGATGTTATATAAGGACATCATCGGCGCCTCAAATGCCAAATGCGTTGCGATCGACACTCCGATACTAATCATGACATTCACGAGAAACTCGCAGAACATTGTGTAGTGACTGAACGGCAGGGGCTGACGATTATATGCATAGCGGACCCAAATGACCAGAAAATGCATTAAATATATCATAAAACTAAGTTTGCCTAACGGGGCGAACAGTTGCCACGACAAGAATGTGTTGATCGGACCTATTGGTGGTGNGGGCTGACGATTATATGCATAGCGGACCCAAATGACCAGAAAATGCATTAAATATATCATAAAACTAAGTTTGCCTAACGGGGCGAACAGTTGCCACGACAAGAATGTGTTGATCGGACCTATTGGTGGTGGATATGAACTGTTAATTCCCATTCAATACAATTAAAGTTGTACGAGACCTCCATTTCCAGTGGTGCAGCCAAATATAATCCAGGCCACACATAAAGACCAGGCCGTCCGGTGTAGACCTGCATAGAGGGCACCCGCTATTGGGTTCCATATCTCACCCCTGTTTAGGGTATACGTCGACAGCATTATTCCTAAACATCCGAAGAGGGCGGACATCCATATGAATAGATTGAGGAACTGGTGGTTGAAAGTGAGTTATTTTAATAATTTATATGATATGATGTTTATTGAAATGAATACTGGATTTATTTTAAATGTTTTGTATTTGAAAACAAAGTATCCCAGAATGAGACCCACAAAATATGGACCCAAATGAATATATGTGTTGACGTATATGGTTGATGCTTGGTTGTAGACATCCCTGTCCACATATTTAAATGGTGAAAATTTTATTTTTTAAAATCTTTGAAATACTTACCGTTCATCGGGTGTATTGTAAAGAACAGTAGGATTCTGGCCGAGTATATACGTACGAACAGCAATGGCCAGGGAGTTGGCGGTCGCCACAAGAATTATAAGTTTGATCCCAAAGTTGGGATTTCTTTACAAATATTATAGAAGTTAGTTATGATATGGATTCGACTAATCATTATTAAGGACTTACTTATAGAGTATGACCACAAAAAGCAATGAGAATATAAATAGTTGAATGTCTGCAGACAAATACCAGGTGTGAAGTAAACACATCTGACTTTCGTCGTACCAGTTATTGATGAAGGTTAAGGTGGTCCACCAATTCTTATAGCACTTATCCAGCTGTACCTCAAAGTACTCCATCCAAAGGGGACCGCTGGTCAGGGATGGGAACAGAAATATAAACATTATTGTCATCGCCACTGACGGCCAAAATCGGA